CTGTCTCAGGCCTCGTTTTCCTTGTTTCCAGGTGCTGTACAGTGGAGTGTTTTTCAGCCAGCATGTTACCCCCAAGATTCACCCTGGATGGGTGTTGTGGCGGTGGAGTCACGGAACGTCAGTCACCAGTCCGCAAGGTGCACAGTGCGCGGATTTACCCCAGTGAGTCTGTCTTTCCCCAGCGAGCGGGTAGCTGGATATTGTGAGCAGGGCCATTCCACACGGCTGCGGCCTGTCCCCTGGCCCCCCGTGGAAGCATATTTCCTGGGCGTGTACTTAGGAGAGCACTCATTGGCTAGTGTGGTTACACAAATGCTCCACTTTATGAGCCCAGTGTTTTCCAAAGTGGCTGCAGATTAGGTTCCCCCTGGCAATGTTCAGAATTCTGGTGACCCATTTCCTCTCCGACACTTGATGCTGTCAGTCCTGTAAATTGTTGCCGGCATGGTAGGTGTAAACGAGGATTATTGTTACCTGAACTTGCATTTTCCCGTTACTGAGGAGGCTGAACATCGTCTCATGTGCCGAGTGGCCATTCATGTGTGCTCTGCTGTTCGAGCCTTTTGTCCATTTCTCCATTAAATTGTTTGCCTTTTCTTGCTGGGCATGTAGTTCTTTACACACCCTGGGTACAGATTGTCGGACAGTTATTCGTATTGCATGTGTTTTCTCCCTGTTTGCTGTGCCATTTTACTGTATTACACCTTATAATGAACAGATGTTCTTAATTTTAATACGATCAAATGTATCGGTCTTACATGGTTAGCACGTTTTCTACCTTAAGAAACCTTCCCTCCTCGAGGTCATGAAGATATTTGCCTATCTTTGAAAAGTTTACAAGTTTTGTCTTCCTTAATACATCGGGACAGAGTCATGATGAATTAGGTGCCTACCTAACTCCATTTCCGCCGCAAATGGAGAAACAGGTGTCCCGGCATCACTTGCTGAAGTCATTCCTTCCCCTACTGATCTGTGGTGCCTCCTCTGACATATACAGTAACGTGTGTGGTCTGCTTCTGGACTTTCTGTGGTGTTTCCCTAGTCAGCTTGTCCATCCTTGGGCCGGTAACAAATGGCTTGATCGACTGTGACTTAAAGTGTGTCTTTATATTGGCTGATGCAAGTCCTGTTCCTTCTTCTTTAGGAGGGAGTGTCTTGGCACTGCTGGGTCCTTAACCTTACTGTTATGTCTTTTAGAAGCAGTCGACATCCATCAAAACCCCTGTTGGCGAGTTTGTCAGAATTCCATTGACTCTCCGGGTAATTTCAGGGAGATGTGACATCTTTGTGACACTGAGGTCTTCTGATTTATTAAAATAATTGTCTCTACATTCTCTTGCTCTTTCAATCATTTTTTAAAAAGACTTTTCTCCTTAATGGTCATGCACTTCTTTTGTTGGACGTATTCTTAACTCAAACTTTTGTTGCCGTTTTGCAAACAGGATTTTTCTAAATTACATGTGGCTTGTTGCTGATGTATAGACATTGGTTTGCGTGTGTGTGGATTTTATACTCAGTAATCTTGCTCGAGTTTTGTTAAATCTAATAATTGGGCTCTAGATTATTTTTGATTTTCTGCATATGTAATGATATTACCTGTGATTTTCTTTCTTCCCCTTTGAATCTTTTTACGTTTTTTCCCATTGCTGTGTTGCTTGGGCTCTACTGCGATGCCGAGCATCCTCCTTCTGTTCCCGATTCAGGCAGACGTTCCCAACGCTTCACCGTGGGTTCGATGTTTGTTTCAGGTGTCGGCAGGCACCCTTAATCAGGTCAAGGGAGTTCCCTTCTATTCCTGCTTTCCTAAGAGCTCATTTTTCTCAGTATGAGTGGTGCTGGGTTTTATTAAAAGCTTTTTTTTTGCACCTATTGAGAGGATCACACAGGTGTTCTTTGACGTGCTGATGCAGCCATTTACATTCATGGATTCGCAAGTGTTAAGCCCGAGTTATATTCTTGGTCATATATTCTTGATATCATTTTATATATTACTGGCTTTTTGTTTTGCTGCATGCTCTGTTTAGGATTTTATGATCACATACTTAGATTTTGTTTATGAGAGTGGTTGGCCTGTACTTCTTCCCCTTTAGATTCTGAAGTCGAGGTTACATCCGCCTCATTATTCACGAGGGGGAGCATTCCCTCTTCCAGTCAATTGCGTCCCAGGTGTCCCTGAACTTTCAGTCACGGTGACTGCTGCCACTTGCAGTGGATGTTCCCTCCTCACCCTGTTTGTGCTCTTATCGTTTCACTGACTTTTCCTCTTGAAACACTCTCTCCCGTTGGGTCCCTCGCACCTCCCCGGGCTCTCCCGGTCTCCTCTGCTCACTCACGGTGTGCCCCACACGCTGCTGGTTGACGTTCTTCGGGTTCGGGCCCAAGTTCTCCTCTCCTCTCCCTCCTCTCTGTTTAGGCGGCTGTTTCTGTTCTCGTGGCTCTCAAACGTGCACCCCCAGTACTGTACTGTTCTCGCTCCCAGACACCGATCTCTCACATTCCGCTCTCTTCCCAACACAGCTGTTGGGTGTCTGAATGGCATGGCACGCTCAACACAGCCCGAAGGGTCTCCTGGCTTCTCCCAGTCGTCTCTCGGTCCTCTCCCACCTCGTTAGGTAGCACCATCGCCTCCAGCACGGGCAGCCAGATTCCTGGGTGAGTCCTGATCCTTCCCTCCCCACGCCCTTTCCCTCAACTTACCACCAGGTCTCCTTCAATCTATTTCTACCAAACATCCTCTTTCCACTTCCGAGTTATCACCTGATCAGCCCACGGAGGCATGTTCTGTGTGCCACTCACCCAAGTCGGGGAAGGCCACGATAAGCTCGTTTCTGGAGGTAAGGGCGTCTGAAGAAGTACAATAGCAAGGGGCCATCCTGGGCTCCTTGCCGGTCCCCAGAGCAGCTGGCAGGAGCAGCATGAAGGGCCTGGTTGTACTGCAGCTGTTCTCCACTGCTGCTGGGGGAGAGGGTGAGATTCACACCTCCAGCTCCAGCCAAAGGGCAGTCACGTGCCTTTCCCTGAGTTAAACGACACTAAACGAAGGCTGGTGGAAGATGGCCAAAGGGATGGGCTCCCGTGAGTCGTGCGCCCCTTTGTGACTTGCTTTGGTCCATGAGGCTTCAGTAAGCATGGTGCAGAGGCTGGAAAAACCCTGTGCACTGAGCTTTGCCACCACGAGGAAAAACCCACCCAGCCTGCTGACCGTGGGTAACAGACACATGGCCCACCCGTGGTCCCTGATCAGGGCCCATCTGAGAAGGTCCAGCCCACGCCCCACAAAAGCAGAGCTGAGCTGTTCCAGCTGCTGGCCCACGGGACCGTGAGCAAATGACTGCTTTACACCCAGAGGAGGTCCTCATGCACATTCTCCCTTATTCAGGATGACTCCCCAGAGGGTGTCCCGGGAGTCTTGATTTTTACTTAGTTGTCAACCAGTGGCCTTTGGATACTGTAGCTGGCACTTGGCCCTCAGGCAAGGTCATGGGCTCTTTCGCTGGCTGACCCCAAAGACAGGTTTTTCCTTTCCCTCAGACAGCAACCTGAAGCAGGTGACTGGCCTTCTGTAACACTTTCCCCTGTGGTTAATTTATGCTCCGGATCACTGAGTTTCTATGTCACGTTCAGTTGTTACACGACTCCTGAATAAGAGGAGTAGCTCACACCGACGGAGCGCTGACCACGTCCCTGGCTCCGCACTGGTCTCTCCTCCCGTGAGTCTCCTCCATGGCACTCTTGAGGAAACAGGCGGAGGTCCTGACAGATGCCTAAGGCCCCTCCGCGGAGCAGTGGCAGCAGCTGGACTGGACTTGGGAATACGGCCTCTATCCCCACTGCCGCCACCCTGCGCCAGGTTTGGTGTGCCCCGACCCTCTCTCCACCCTTTGTAAAAGTGAATACCGAAAGCCTCATTAAAATCGGGGTGGGAAGCCCTGAAATGGGGAGCCCTCATATACCACTCAGTGCCATCTGCAGACTCCAGCAGGAAGAAGCTACCTTGCAGTCCCCAACAGGCAAAAGCGCACTTTACTATGGAAGCAGGGGGAAGGCTTTCTCCTGACTCAGTAACAGCCCGGCCAGTAAGAGACTACCACGCTCAGCCAATGAGAAGCCACCACCACCCTTAACTTGCACTCGCCTCCAATGGACTTCCGCTCAAAACTGCCCCTCTTGAGTTCCTTCTTTTCCCCCACTGAGTAACACTCTTCTTTGTTCTCTGGACTTGCCTACGATTCCCCTGGAATTTCTAGTCTGGAAATGCAATTCCTCTGATATTCCTGAATAAACCTATTTTCCTGGTAAAATAACTGGCTGGGTTTTTTTTTTTAAGGTTGATATCCTTGAGTTCTAGTAAATCACCAAAAAACGAACTGCTTGTGGCTTATTACACACTCTTCCGCTCTCAGCATCCATGAGCAAGTTTTTCCTTATTAAACTTTATTTTCTGTTCTGAATGGAATTGCAGCCTTGAGTTATTCCAGTCTTCAGAAATGCATTTCCACATATGCTTATTGCATGTAAACGTTTCTTGGTATATAACCATATAGTATCAAAGTAAGTTTATGGTATGCACCGTAAAAAGGCTTTAAAATGCGTTTACTGTCAAAGCCAGCCAACTCAACAACCACATTAACTCTGGTAATCTGGATTTGCTTCTGATGTCACCGAGAGTGCTATAGGGAAACAGGGAAGCCCCCTGGAGTGTGGGGACACCGACTTCCCACTGCACACCCAGGGTTCTCGGGAACGTGGACCGGCCGGAATGCGTTTGCACATCCAGTTCACAGCGGGACCTCCCTGAGAATCTCTGGTCGCCCAGCTCCCCAAGCTAGGTCACCCTCATCCCTGCAGGTCTCCCCTTTCCCAGCCCCAGCTTTGGCTCTCGCTCCGCAGCCCCGGCCGACCGCGGGCAGAGGTCTGTTCCGCGCGGCGCGTGCGCGCACACACGCACGTCTTGCGTCTCAGCGTCGCTCCCCTGCGTGCGCGCGGCCGGGGGCGGGTGGACAGAGGCGGAGGCTGTTGCGGCGGCCCGGTCGGGCCGCGCACGGGGGCGCGCTCGGGGCCGCGCCAGGCCACGGCCCGCGCGCCGCAGCCCCGGGCGGCGGAGCGGTGCGAGCCCCGGCGTGGCGCGCGGAGCAGAGCAGCCAGCGGCTGAGGTGAGGTGAGACGGGGGCGGGCGGGGGTCCGACACCTAGGACACCTAGGGCGGACACAAACGCCGGAGCCGCGTTTATGTAAGCGCCGCGGGGCAGGTGGGGAGGCCAGGCTGTGAGTGCGGCTCCAGCGGGACGCGGTGCTGCCGGTTGCGTGTCCGGAGGGTCTATACAGGCCAGGTCGCCCGGGTAGGGAGACGGCACCCCAGGATGAGGCTGAGCCCGGGACGGCCCGCGTCTCCTCCCTGGGGCGCCGCGTCTGCGCCGGATGCTCTGCGCTGCGAGACAGGAGGCTGCGCCCGGGGATGGAGGGGGTACTGCGCCTCGGGACGAGGCTGCTCCCGGAGAAGGGGAATCTGCGCCCCCGGAATGAAGGGGAGACTGCGCCCTGGGATGCGGCTGCGCCTGAGGGGTGGGGGACTGCATCCCTGGATGAGGCTGCGCCCCGGGATGAAGCTGTGCTCCCGTGGAGGGGAGACTGCGCCGGGGACAGCCCTGTCCCCACCCTGGGAGTGCCGCGTCTGCTCTGGATTCTCTGCCCCAGGGAGGGAAGGCATCGGCCGGGGATGAGGCTGCGTCCGGGGTGAGGGGAGGCTATGTGTCCGGAATAAGGCTGCGCCCTAGGATGAGGCTGTACGCCCAGGGTGAGGCTGCGCCTCCGAGATAAGGCTCCGCCAGGGTTGGCCCCGCGTCCCTCCCCGAGGGCACCGTGTCTGCGCGGGATGCTCTGAGCCGCGGTGAGAGGAGAGGGAGCCCCCGGGGAGAGGACGCAGCGTCCGGGGTAAGGTTGCGCGCTCCGGAGGGCGCCGTGTCCGAGCGGGATGCTCTGTGCACCAGGCGGCCGAGGGCGGGGAAGTTCCCGCTAGTGCCGGACGTCTGGAGCGATCCGGAGCAATCTGGGGCGATTGGGGGCCCGAGATGACTTCTGACGTGTTCACATCTGCAGTGGGAAAATTACCGCGTTGTGGATGGGTCGGAGGGAAGGTGTCAAATTGGGCTGTGGACGCTAAATCGTGTTGGAGCCCCGATTTACATGCCAGAGAACATAAAATGTGTTCTAGCCCCGATATATCCGTGGGAGACCCGTACTGTTTTGTTTGGTTCGCAGTTAATATTTTTAGCCAACCCGTTTTGGTTTTACTTGTGATGAAGGCATTTTGTTTCCTTCTTACACAATCCATAGTGGCGAGCGTTCCATTCTCGAGGTGTAATGAAAAGTGGCCTGATGTCAAACTTGCCTCTTTGCTCTTAGTCCTCAATGAAGAGGATCCCTCCATCATTAAGTTTTGGGAATAGAAATATTTAATCCTTTTGTTCCCTTTTAAATGGGCTCATGTGTGGGATGCCTTTGAAAGGTGCCATCCAGAACTGCGTTTTCCAAGACTCTGGGCTGTTTGCAGAATAGTTCCTGCGCAGTGTCTTTGATTACCATCTTTTTCTCTGGGTCTGAGGCTACTTTTTCCTCTGCTCGCTGACGGCTTCCCAAAGGGGAAAGGGAGAAGCGGAGGTGGGGGGGAGACAAAAGGTTGGGTGATAGTGCTCTGCCCTGGGTAAGAGAATGAGCCGCCCCTCTGTGCTGAGTCCTTTCAGAGGGCAGGATCCTCTCTCATGGGCACCCGGTCAACAGCTGATGAGAGGCACTGAGCTGGTGCCCCATTCTGCCCAGAGGTGGAGGTCAAGGACGCCTGCCAGCTTCGAAAGGAATGCATGGTCTTTGAGTAATGCCTGTTAGATGTCCGAGGGTTCCAGAGACTGAATGCATTCAGCTACACCTTGAACAAATTGGAAGAGACAACTGGAAGGAAAGAGAGAGAGGAGGCCTTTCTGCAGGGGGCAGTGGGGGGAAAGAAAACTGGCCCATTCCCGAGGAATTCAGTGCACATATATCTGAGGTTTGATGTGCTCAGGAAGTCAGGACTAGGAGCGGAGAGAAAATTAGCTAATGACATCACTGACAAAAACTTCCGGGCTCGTAGGGCTAATTCACTCCTTTGTAAATCCGTATGTCGTAATAGCAGCCCAAGCGTTTTGATGTTTGGAATAAGAAAATTCTTTTAACTTACATTTGCCTGGGAGTGAATAAAGCGAACTTAATACATTTGGTTAACACTTGCCCTTGGCCTGCCGTGTGCTAGGCCTGCCCTGTCTTTGGCCGGGGGCCGCAGACAGGAACCGAGTCGGCAGAGCTCAAAAAAACTCCAAAGCTGGCCGTTTGTTTTATTAAGCACTTTTGTGGCACTGCATTTTTCAAATAGTGTTTATAATTCCAGTAATACAATTTTTAAGTGTATAGCATTACATTTCTGTGGTAGATTTGAAGATAGCATGCACATATACATTCTGAAGGTACAAAGAGATGATAAAACCTGGTTTCCCTCCACACCCATCCACTCACCTCCTCTCGCTGCCGTGACCGCGTGTTCTCCCCGCAGTAGTCAGAGTAGTGTATGCACAGTTGTGTATGGGTTTTAATGTCGTTTTTAGTATTTGCTATAACAGACAGCGCTGCAGGGGACATTTTTATACCTGGGTGCAGCAAAACCTGCTAATCACTTTTTATTAATCACCAAAGTTCCTTTGCTATAAGGCTTATTAAGAGCTGGCTTTCTTCCCTTGAACGTTATGACAAGCTGTGTCAGTACTTTGGACTATTATTTAAATAGGTAGACGATAGCTAGAAAGTACACTTTGGAGATTCAGAGGTGGACTTATGCACTTTCCAGCTTATTAAAAACTTGAAGAAAAATTATAGGTCTTTAGTGTGAAGCTGAAAAGCTTAGAGAGGTCCAATTTTATTGGAAACTCAATGGGGTTTTTTTGGTGTCGGTTTTCTAAAATGTGAATTTCTAAACCTCTCATCTGGTGATAGACATAGCGGTGGTTTAAAAAACCCCTTAAAAATATATTCATAGTATACGAGGTAGGAAAGGCCGGTCGTGAGGATTTCATTTGCAAATTGCACATTGGAGTCCTTCGATCTCTCACTCCCCGAGCGGTTTCCTTCGTGGTGTGCACGCACTTCGTGCAGCGTGCAGAGCGGGCAGGTGCCGTGGCCAGCGGAGGGAGGTCTTCACGTGGCCTCGCTGCAGCGCTCGCTGTCCAGCCCAGACCGCCAGCATCCTCACCTCTTTGTGAAATCTGCTGAGTGTGCTGAGGCTCTTCTCCACCTGCACGTGTGTGAGGAGTTCCAGGGGTGGACGAGGGAAGCCGACTTTGGTTCTAGGCTTCCCGTCTCTGTGGTGGATTGAAGAGGAAGACAGGTGGGGGCGGCGGGGCTGGAAGTTGCTCCGAGGTGCCTGGTGTTTTCACTGGCAGTGCAGCGAAGCCCTGCTTGCCGCTCGGGTGGCTTTGTTTCACTTGCAGGGTTGCCTCCCAAGGATGTCAGGTGCCAGGCCAATGGTTCTGGGCGAGGGAGACCCGGGAGCTGGCACAGCACGGGTAGTTCCTGCCCACGTGGGAGTCACATTACAGGGGAGGAGGGGACATTAAGCCCCACCTGAAGTCCTAAGGCCAGGCTGGGCAGTGTTGTGGGGGGCGGGGCGGGGCAGGGGTCTGAGAGGGAGCTCAAAAGATGGAGGGAGCTGGTGCTGCCCTGGGGGCCGGTGCAGGCAGCAGGAACTCCGGAGTCAGAGCTTCAGGGCAGCCGTGTTGTCCTGTGCTGGTGACAGCAGGGGTGGGTGGCAGGAAGCGAGGCTAGCTGGGGGGTGGTGTAGAGGGCTGAGGTTAGGAATTTAGATGCTCACCCCTTTGGGATGGGAAGCCTTGGGAGGGCCTCCTTCCTGTCTGCCTCCCTCCTCCCTCCCTTTCTGCCTCCTCTCCTTCCTTCCTAGGTGACATTAGAGAGTTTTGAATGAGAGAGTGACCTGATCTGATTTATCTTTGAAGAGAATCACTCTGGCTGTTATGTAGCTAACGTTTGTTAGGGGCTCATGACGTGCCAGGCCACTGAAGTACTCCCCATGTATTACTTAATGTAATCTCGGGATAGGCCGGCAGGCAGGCACTGTTGTGTGTCTTCCGGGGGTAAAACTGGGCACAGAGAGGCCACACGTAAGTGGCAAAGGCAGGACTGCTCTGAGCGCTTCTTCCCATCTCCCTGCCACAGGCAGCAGGGAACAGCAGGGGCACCCGTGACCGTGACCGCGCAGGGCTCAGACGAGGGCAGAGGTGGCCAGAGGTGCGTGCTGCGTCCCAGCACGGCAAGGTGGCGTCGCTGGTGAATCGTAGCCTTACCGTCTGTCCTGTCACAGGCGCTCCTGCCAGTTAGACGGACACGTGCTTTCTCATCCCTTAGCTTTTATGTACACTCATGGGAAGTACAGACTTTTTTTTTGTTTTAAGATTTTACTTTCATTTGAAGGAAGGGAGGAGGAGAGGGAGAGAGACATCGACTGGTTGCCTCTCACACGCCCCCAAACCTGGGACCCGGCCGGCAGCCAGCCGAGGCGCGTGCCCTGCTCGGGGGAGTGAACGGGCGTCCTTGCAGTGTGCGGGCCAGCGCTCAGTCCACGGGGCCACGCCAGCCAGGGCCGGACGTACAGACTTTTCAAGTCTCGGTTCTCTTGTGCCTTCGTGAAAGAGGAAAGTATGAGTGAAAGAAAGTAACTCCAAAATGTCTTCATGTCTAGAATGGAGTCTTCCAAGTCAGCTTTGATGTGCGGCCCTCCGGTGCTGCCCCCTGTGCTGGGACCGAGTGCTCCCCAGCCCGCAGCCCGCAGCCCTGCTGTCCCGGGGTGCCGTCCCAGCTCCCGTGCGCGGCCAACACGTCTGGATGTTTTCTGGGTCTCACCGGCAGGTGTTAAGGAGAGGTTTCCGGTCCTGAAGGGACTTGCTGACTGACTCCTGATAGTCCCGCTGCCGGTCACGCCTCCAAAGGAGCAGCCGAGGGTGTGCAGGCGCAGAGGGACTGCACTCGCCGTGGCTGACAGCCGGCGACACACCTCCAGTGCCGGGCACTCCAGTCTCCCCGATGTACGAATGTGGGGTACAACCCTCAGCATTGAGGAGT